TTTGGGCTGTGGAGAACAGAGGCCAGTCCGGGCAGGGTCTGGGAGTACAGCCGCTGACCACTCTCACCCCAGCGGGCCCACGCCTTGGGCCAGGGCGCAAGGCAGCTGCACCCCGTGATCGGATCCTACCCACTCATAGGTGCACCCGACTTTGTCCTGGGGGAGAGCGTGCACAGATTGATTCATCTGCGCACTCAGGACCAGGACAAAGTCCTCGACTTGCAACGGTTCATTTAGTGACCGCTCAAAGTTACAGCGGCACTGAAATAAGCGACTTATGACCCTTTCTCAGAGTCACGGCCTTTCCTCTGGTCACGTGGTCTACATCCAGATGCCTGGCGACCGGCTCGCATTTATCGCGGTGTCCTGGGATCGTGTGATCCCCTTTTGCGACTGTCCCTGGGGAAGCCAGAGTGACTGAACAACCACGCTAACTGCTTCCTTGTCCAAAAGCCAAGCCGGTCCCCAGGCTGCATTAAACAATCGAATCGAGGACACGCGATGTGTCATTAGCGGTGCTTTATAATGCTTTGGTAAGGCCACAACTCCTGCGCCTAGGTTTGGTCGCCACGACGTAAAAAAAGAGGCTGAGACTCTGGAAAGAGTGCAGAGAAGAGCAACCAAGAGGAGGAGGAGGAGGAGACCGGAGGCCAAAAGAAATCAAGAACAATTGCAGAAATTGGGTCTGGCTAGTTCAATCAGGTTAGTTTAATGAAAAGAAGGACCGGGGGTGACAGGAGAGCAGCCTTCCAGGATTTGAGGGGCTGCCACAGAGCGGAGGGAGGGGGGGTCAGGCTCTTCTCCAAGGCCCCTGAAGGCAGGACAAGGAGCAACAGATGGAAACCACACAAGGGGAGAAGCAGCCTAGGACTCAGGGAGGAATTTCCCGTTAGACCAACCCACCGGTGGAAGGGTTTGCCTCCTGGAACGGCGGCTCCCTCCCTGGAGGGTTTTCAGAAGAGACCGGACAAGCATTCGGCTGAAATGGCCTGGGATCTCCTGCCCGAGCAGGGGGTTGGGCTAGAGGACCTCCAGGGTCCCTTCCAACTCTTGCTATTTTGCATTCATGTGAGAAAAAAAAAAATGGCACCCAAAGGTCCTCCGCAAGGTTTGCTCTTGGGCCCCACCTACGGGTCAGAAGGCACATTGCAGGAAGCCAGGGCTTGAAGCTGCATGGTTAAAAAGGGGGTTTGATTGAAGTGCTAGGAAAATGATTTGAAGCTGCCTGACAGCATACAGGGGGGGCAACCTCCCACCCACCCACCCACCCCCAAAATCATTAGTCCTTCAATTCGCTTCTTCCAGTTTACTCCCTTTACGGGACATGTTGGCAAAGCGGGAAATGCAAACCAGGGCGAACGCTGTTCCCAGACCAGATGGCCCAAAACCAGGGTTCCCCAAACTTGGCCACTTTTAAGACCTGTGGACTTCAGCAAAGTTGGCTGGAGAATTCTGGGAGTTGAAGTCCACAGGTCTTAAAAGTGGCCAGGTTTGGGGACCCCTGCCCCAAAACGGACGCTTCTTAGCTTGGCTCAAAACAAGACAAAACATTAAAAAAAAGAGGAAGCCCACGTGTCACCATTTGTTGAACTGACACCTGCAGTGTGTGTGTGTGGGGGGGGGGGGAAGCCCCACAGCCAGCTGCATGAGGGAGCGAGGATTGTGAATTGCGTGGTGTGGTGTGGTTTCACATTCGCTCAGCAAAACATAGGAGCTTTGCCCTGCAGCCAGGAAGGTTATTGGGCCTAAAGTCAAAGGAAGCCCTGCGGGGGGGGGCCTCCACCACCTCAGAACGTGTGAATCCTGCTTTTTTTCTCAACCCCCCCCCCCCCCGTTGGGGGCACTGGGTGGGGGCTGCTCCTGCCTTGCCAGGACCACTAAAGGCCAAGGGGGGTGGGCGTGCCTCAGTGTCCTCTTGCAATTTGCAGCAACGATAAACTGCGTGGGATGGGGACATGTGTGTGTGTGTGTGTGTGTGTGTGTGTGTGTGTGTGTGTGTGCAAATGGAGCACGGGGTGCCTCGACTTACGACAGTTGGGACCAGAATTTCCCTTGCTAAGCGAGGAGATTGTTAAGTGAGCTGCACGTGATTTTATGAGCTTTTTTTTTGCCACGGTTGTTAAGCGAAACCTTGCAGTTGTTAGGTGAATCATCACACAGTCGTTAAGTGAATCCAGTTTTCCCCACTGACTGCCTTCCTGGGCCAGTGGAAGTGGCTTGGATTAAGCCCTATGCTAGGGGTCCTCAACCTTTCCTTCACCACCAACCGCCTCCAAAGACGTTTTGCGGCCGTGAACCCTCAGGTTGGGTCACTACGATATAAAACAGGTACCGGGACCCTAGAACAGGGACGGGCGGCAAACCTTTTCGTTGTGGTATGCCGAAAGTGCGCATGCCGGCACTCACAATGTAATGCACCCCATCTGCCCTGCGCATACGCGTGCAACACCCCCCCAACCCTTATCCTGCACTGCGCATGCATGTGCCTCCCAGCTGATTTTTGGCCTGTTTGAGGCCGTTTTCGCCCTCCTGGAGGCTTGAGGGAAGCCTCGGCAGCCTCGGGAGGCCGGAAAACGGGCCCGTTTCAGCACTTCTGGTATTTCCGGAAGGCTCGTTTTTGGGCCTCCCGAGGCTTCCCTCAAGCCTTCAGGAGGGTGAAAACGGCCTCAAACAGGCCGAAAATCAGCTGGGAGGCACATGCATGCGCAGGTAAGTGTGGCTGGGGCTTGTGTGCCCACACAAATGGCTCTGCAGGCCACCCGTGCCACGTGTGCCATAGGTCCGCCATGACGGCCTTCGAAAGTATGCAGAGCAAAGATAGGAAGGTGGGAAATGGCTTGAGGGTTCAATCGCACGGTGGATGGTTGAGGGAACTGGGGATGTCCAGCTGAAGGGAGGAGAGAAGGACGAGGGGGGACAGGATAGCATCTTCCAACGTTTGGGGGGCTAAAAAAAGGCCTCTTCTCCAGAGCCCCTGAAGGCAGGACAAAAAATAAAAACCACGGATGGAAATGAATCAAGGAGAGAAGCAACCGGGAACTCAGGAGCAATTTCCTGGCGGGGAGGAGAATTCACCCGTGGAACGATGATTTATCCCCAGAAGTTGTGGGGGCTCCATCTGAAATGGCACAGGGTCCCCTGCTTGGGCTGGGGGTTGGACTAGGTGACCTCCAGGGTCCCTTCCAGCCCTATCCAATCCAGCCCTTGGGGTGAAAAAGAGAGCCGGGCCATTCTGGGGTGGGGAGGAGGAGGAGGAGGAGGAGGAGGAGGAGGAGACAAGCTGCCTCAGAAATCCCAGAGAGGGAACTTTTGGGTTGCTGACCCAGCTCCCGCCAAGCGGCTTGGCACCGGCTGGGTTTTTCCAATAGCTCAGCGCCTCCCTTGGCTTCCGAGGAGGGGAAAACGAGGCCCAGCTAAACCGGCTGAGAACAGGGTGTTCTGTTGCTGGCGGCCAGAGCTTCCTGTCCCTCTGCCTGCCCTTGCAACAGAACCAGGGCGGGGGGTGGGGTGGGGTGGGGGATTAAGGGGTGGGGAGGAGGAGGCAGGGCTGCTCTGGAGAGAAGCCACCCAGCTGCAGGCACAAACTTTGGACAACCGGAAAGGAAGGAAAAGGCTCCTCGGCTTTCGCTGATGCAACTGGACAGCCGTGGCAAGAACTGGACGTCCCACTTCTCCTGCTCCCACGCCTGGAGGAAAAAGATTGCCAAAACGGCCGCCGGGGAATGGCAGGAGGAACCGAGCGGGGCAGCCAGGCCCCTGGTCTTCCTCCAACAGCCCCCCTCCCAGGAGCAACAGAAGGGCACCCCCCAAACTTTTCCTGCCCCAGGGGTCCTGGGTCGGCTTGGGTGCCCAGTTCCTCCTGCCCAAGCCTGCCTTGTCCTGGGGGATTCTACGAGACGAGAGGACCTCACCCCAGGGGCGGGAGGCTTGGCTAGGAGCGGGGGGGGGTCCCCGGTTCCTCCCCAGAGGAAGGGGCTGCTGGGGGAGATTGGCTGGGGAGGGTTTGGGGCAGACATGCTTCGGGAAGAGCCGAGCGGGGTCCCCGAGTTCCTCGGGCCAGGGGCCTGGCTCGGCAGGGGGCAGCTCCGTGCACGACCCCCCAGGCTTAAGCTGAAGGGTGGGCAGATGCTCTCGAGGGATCCACTTCCGAGACCAAAGAGGCAGGTTTTGCTCTTGATAATTAGAACCCAAGACAAAGCTGGCAACGGTGGGAATCTCAAAGCACGAAGAGATGGGGGAGGATGCGCACACGCCCCCCCCAAAGAACTCGCCAGGAGAAAGGGGGGTTGGCTCTCGGTTTCCTGGGCCGATTGCCACGCTGGCACGCTGCTGGCCCACAGCCTCCCCAAAGCCCTTTCTTCCCTCCGCTTCTGGGTTTTTCACCTCTCCAGCTGAAGAGGCTGGTTGGTGTGGCTCCTTAACTGGTCAGGAGAAAAAGCTGGCCAGGCCCCAAACCCCCCCAAGGGGCAGAGCGGAGAGAGCAAGCGCTCCGAGAAAAGGGGGCCTCTGTAGCTCAGGGTGGGACCGTGGAGGCCCCCCCGGCTGCTCCCTGAGCTTGGTAGTTTCTATGCAGGTGTTTCATGACCCAACTAGGCAACATCATCAGTGCTAAGAGGAGGAGGAGGAGGAGGACGGTGGGGTCTTTGGTGTTCTCTCAGCTCGGTAGCTTTCCAGCAAATGTCTCATGACCCAACTAGGTAACATCTTCAGAGCTAGAAGGGAGAGGGGTTTGTGGAGAGGAGGAGGAGGAGGAAGCGGGGGAAGGAGGAGGACTGTGAGGTCCTCGATACTCTCTCAATTTGGCTCTTTTCTTGCAGACATTTCGTTACCGAACTAGGTAACGTCATCAGTGCTAGAAGGAAGTAGGGTGTGTAGAACGGGGAGGGGGAGGAGGAGGAAAGGACTGTGGGGTCCTTTGCGCTCTCTGAGCTTGGTGGTTTTCCTGCAGACATTTTATCACCCAACTAGATAATATTGCCAGCACCTTTTTTGAACTAAACTCATAAGGCAGATTTTATTGTGTTGCAATGTCTTTGATCAAGTGTAACAGAAAAGTGAGCAAAAAAAGAGATATGTTTATGGAAGCTTCCTCCTCAGCCCAGAAGTCCTCCTCTTACAGGTACACATTTGACAACAAGAGGGTCCGTAAAAAATTTGTATTTCATGCCCAGATCCATCTTCTGGCTACTGAGTTAGAGAAAGTCATTTATCTGCCTGATGGGCCTTTGGAATAAGTGGTCTTTTAAGTAGTCAGCTCTGAAATCTCCCGCAGTTGTGGGAGGCACTGTGGGGCAAGACTTCGCCGGGGCTTTCCCCTAAATGAAAATAAAATTAGGAAAAAATGGCCAGCTAGCTACGGGAGAGCTTTACGGCCTGCGAAGGGCAGAATTTTGGTGATGGACGCCAACCCTATACGAAACTCGAACACCGCACAGGGTGGGGCTGAAAGAACGAGCGGAGATGGACGGAAGGTGAGACCGAGACGCGGAGTTCGGCCTCTGCCTCTTGCAGCCCACCAGGGGCCAGAATCCAGACAAGGCCTGCGGATCACAAGGTTCCCTGTGAGGGCATCTTGCCCGTGATCTTGTTGGAGCACTCCAGGAGGGCGTTGTGGATGTCCTTGGCACAGGAGATCTGGGACTTGATCATGCTGAGGTACTGGGTGTAGGGCAGGCTCTCTGCCTGGACCGCGTCGGGCTTGGTGGCCGTGGGCACCAGGGTGGGCGAGTGCTTGGCGCTGTCGAAGCTCTGGGAAAGGCACTCGTAGGCCAGGCGCTGGCATGAGGGAGAGAGGGGAGGAGAACAGAGCGGACCGGATGTTACCACGGGGAGGGTCTGCAGGCAGCGGCCAGAGGAAGGCCGAGACGCAGGTTCCTGGCGGCGGGAACAATTAACCGGCGGAACTGCCTGCCCCCAGGAGTTGTGGATCCTCCAACACCAGAGCTTCTCAGGAAGGGATCGGACAGCCATCTGTCTGGGATGCTACAGGTAATCCTCGACTTACGAGCACAACTGAGCCCAGAATTTCTGTTGCTAGGCAGGTGAAGCGAATGCTGCTCCAGTTTGGGACCTTTCTCACCACGGTTAAGTGAATCACTGCAATTGTTAAGTAAGCAATCTGGCTTCTTCCCCCTAGACTTGGCTTGTCCGGAGATCGCAAAAGGGGATCCCGTGACCCTGTGACCGTCATAAATACAAGCCAATTGCCAAGCCTCCGAATTTCAATCCCGCGACCGCGGGGAGGCTAAAACGGTCGTAAGTATGAAAACGGCCATCAGTCACTTTTTTTTCCAGTGCTGTTGTTACTTTGCCACTAAATGAACTGTAGTTAAGTCGAGGACTACCTGCATAGGGCTCCCTGCTTGAGCACGGGGTTGGACTAGAAGACCTCCAAGGTGCCTTCCAATCCTGTTATTCGGTCATTGTGCAGAGAGACAGGCAGTTCCTTCCCACAACCACATCCGACAGCTCTTAAAGGGGGGCCCCCCCCCCCCCCCCAGCCGTACCCACCAGAGACGTGGAGTAAGAAAGAGAAAAGAGGGGGACAAAACCCCAAATCCCAGCGAGGTGCACAAGTGGGAATCCGTGGCCGATGAACGAGAGCGGATGCCCCCCCCCCCCCCCCCCCCCCCCCCCCCCCCCCCCCCCCCC